CCTCCTGGTCCCCCTGCCCCTCCTCAGCCATCTCTGCTTCTGCCTGCCCCAAGCCTGCAGGTGAGGTCCCACCCAACCGCATGTTCCCTGTCGCCTTTGGATCAGCGGGATGCAGCCTCAGCCTTCCCGCTCCCCTGTGTGGCTCATGAAAACAGACTGCGCTGTGGTTTGGCTGCTCTGCCAGCCGCGGCCACCGCCCCTGCCCCAAGCACAGCTCTGCCCGCACTCCCTGCATGCGGTGCCCGGGCTCCTCGGCAGCCGTGCTGGTCGGCTCTGGGCACGCGTGTCAGCAGCTGATCCCAAAGGACGCGGTTTGCTCCTCTCGACACCCGCTGCAAACGGAGCCAGCCAAACAGGTCCTGCAGCAGAAACCTGCTGGCCCTCACCCTGAACCAAGATGTGTCACCCCAGGGAGCCAGTTTTGGAGTAGAGGGTGCTGGCCTCTGAGACCATTTTGATGTTTTTCCTTTCTTCTATTAATTAGTGTTGGCAATTCAATTTATATTTGTTCTATCATTCATATCAGTAAGGTTAACCATTGGTTGAAATGATATGTAATACTATTTGAGTGAACCCCATTTAATTAAGCATGTCCGTAATTTAATTTATCAGAATGCTCTCACTGGGTGTTGTGATTTAGTAGAACAGAGGCCCTTGGTTCTGAGCACTAAGTGATGAGTCACGAGCAGCAGAAAAGCTGTTCCAATGATTGGGACGTCTTGAAGTTTCATTTCACATTGGCACGAAAAGAAGACATTGCCTTGTTAAGAAGCAGATGCTGCACTAGGCTTGAATTTTCCTATGGAAAAAAATTACAACTAGGAAACACCAAACCCTGCCAAATACCTCAGGCATCTGGAGCAAAACTTAGAGCAGCAAACTCAGGCTAATACGAGGGGCTGAAGGGTTACCGTGGGTGTTTTGCCACTGCTGCTAAGGAAAACACCTGTATCCACAATCATGTGCAGAGTGTAGAAAAATCCTCCAAAGCTGCAGTTACCTGTTTGGAACCTCCTTGCCTCAAACTTCTCATAAAATGGGGTATCCAGCCATAAGTTAACAGCTTTTTTGCCAAACATCTAAAATGTTATAGATCAACAGAAATGGAAAATTATCAGATCCATTTATTCTGTAGTCTTTCCCTTCCCTGCTTTGAAGCATTCAAAGATATCAGAGTTTGCATCTGTGGTTTTATTTGTTCAGTCCCAGAAGCATCAGGGAAGCTGAACCAAGTTGCTTTGAAACTGCTCTGTAACTTGGTGGCTCAGGCTGAAGAACGATTTGTTGGTTTGGTGGTGGGGTTGAAGCTTCCCTGCAAGTGGGTCTCATTCAGCCATGAGACAGAAATGTGGATTTAATTATTGACATGGATTAAGCCCTCTTTTGGGATTTAATCTTGGTCTGTAAGATCAGGGCTTGAATGAGTCACTCATAATTATACAAATACTGGGAAAGGGAAATGTATGCTTTCTACACAGAGTGAAAGTTAACATTGGACTGTTTGTTTTTTGATAAACTCCTACAAGTTTTTTCACTCAGATTTTCCCATCACACCTTAAAATGCATTTAGTAAGTTGAAACTCTTCCTCAGTTGATATGAAGGAAAAGAAATCCTCCCCTGCTGACTTTCCTATCTGCATGCTTTATATCTGATGACAAATTCACTTCATATTACTTTCTGTCAAAAATGTAACAATTCTCCACAAGGAGTATAAAGTTTGGCTGAAGTCAAGATTCTGCTCTTCTTTGTCTGTGGTTTCATTCTTCCTTATAACCCATGCATGCAATTTGCAATCAGAAAATTAGAAATATGATCAGTTTCTGTTTAAGAAAAGGTGCAGTATTCTTGAGGAACACCAACAAAAACATACACGGTAAATAGATTAAATGCAGATGTACTAGATAATCTTTCACTCTTCCCAAACAGCAACATTAAAAGACAAATATATTCAACACAATTCACGAATCTGAGCTCTATCTCATGTCTGGGCTACAGGAGATCCCATTTATGGGCTATGCCTGCTGTGATACATTTACATCAAATGACTGTGGCCACCTACACTGACCATATTTCCCATGGAATTATGGATTTCCCAGGCTGGCACATCTAAAAGCAAAGGGTAAGGCTCCCAAGCAGTTCTTTTTTCCCTGGCAGAACCTTTGCATAACATTTTTCCCACCTAGACTTTTAATTTTACTTTTATTAATATACTTGACCTGTTGAAAGAAGTGCAGTGGCAGAGTAAATGCCCTGAGGACAATAACATATAAGGACAACTACTCTAGAAAAAAATTTACTCTGCTCTGGGGTGAGAGCTGGGATCCTGTGGATCCCAAAACAATGCATTTCCTGGCTCAGCCTTCTCTACACCCAGTGACAGTTTGTTTCAGAGAATCTACTGTGAATGCAGTGTTAATGTTTGGCATTTTTCCAACACTGTCTAAACTGGGCTTACTGCCAGCAGGTTGTACCAGTAAATCATTAACTGGAGCACCCAAAAGCAAGTTTTATTTCACTGAACTATTCGTAGCCAAAATGTGGTCAGTTGTTTCAAAATGTCTGTTCCATTTTTTAAATAAAAAAAAAACCCAGGGGCTGTTGTTTTCATCTGGTTTCCTTATGACACAGCTTGTAAGACTTTGCTTAATTAATTCCTGCTAGAACTGGAGCTTGTCTTCTAGACAACATCTGGACTTGATTACTGTATTGTGCATGTTTTGATCCCTCTCTTAAAGACCAGCTGTTGATCAAATTCAGTGACCTGTAAATAGATCAATTTCTGATCAGCAAATTTCATACCTGGGGTAGAGATTAAAAATTGATTCTTGCTCACATGTAAAATTACTGAATTGGGGAGATACTTCTGCAATGGCCTTGAAAGAAAACCAATCTATATAAGCAACCTCAATTCATAAGACCTTGATGGCTCAGGCCTTAAAATGTTGGCCAGCAGCATTTCAACTGGGCAACCCCCAACTATATTTAGACTGGAAATTTTAGTTGCAGTGCTTTGACAGAGAATGGGATTTTCTTGGACAGTTTTGTAAGGCGAAATACAGTAATACATTAAATAACACTAACATCAAGTCCTCTGTTATTTCTACCAAACTTGCTTCCTGTGAACCCTTCTACATCCTTAGTACAATAAATCTGGAATAAATACGTTTCGATTTAGATGCTGCATTTGCCACGGCAGTAACACTAACAATAAATATCTTATCTGTACCAGGTAATTTGCAGTAGATATCCAGTTGAACCACAATTTTCATTTTGGCGGTGTGCAAAGCGAGACACAGAACAGATGGCTATTTGAAATCTGGGGCCCACCTGGCAGGCATGCCACTGGGATCAGGAACAGGCTGAAGGCTGAAAAGTGGAAGGGATTGCCCACAGGATGCAAGATGACCACTCCTGATCAAGGGGCTAGACCCCAGCACCTCACCATCTTCTGTGCCCCCTTACAGAGCTGTGCATCCCTGCCCTGCTCCAAGCAGTGTGCTCAGAAGTGCCTTAGGCTGGTTCACACTGCCCTGGAGACTCCCCAGAGTAAAGGCAACATGACTGTGCTCCACCCACAGAAATGTGGTTCCTCGTCCGCTCCAGTTCTGCTGTCTGTTCTGGGATGAGAATGAGGAGATTTTTCCCAAATCCCCACCTTTTTCACACTGTCACATTTAAAGTGGTTTGCATCTCAGACAGGAATAGGATCCAAGAGATACTGTGCTCCTCTCTTTGCAGGCTCTGTTAATGGTGAAGACCTTTCTGTTCCACTTCCTTCCCAATGAATGGATCTGCAGGACAGCTTCTTCAGCATTGAATTTCCCTCTTTATCTAAATACTCTGAGGTCCAAGGTCAAACAAAGGCCTTCTGGAGCTGGCCATTATACACTGGGCATGTTTCTTGTACCACTTTTTTCTTTTGTAAAGTCAGTCCCCAGGGAATTGCATTGTTTGGGACATGTCTAAACTGTCTTAATGGTCTACTTGAGAAGCAAAGCAAGTGAGGGATAGTTCCAGGTGCTAGGAAGAGCATGTCAGACAGTGTGGGCTCCTGCAGATGGGGCTGAGAATGCTGTGAGTCCGATGGTTGGTGCTTGAGCTCCTCCCCAAACATGCCTCGGCAGGTGGGCTCAGAGCTGGCTGTAGGGCAGCCATCCACAGAAGGAAAAAATTCCCACACACACATAGGTAGCTACCCCTGTGTCCTCCTACCAAAGGCTCACAGGAAATGTGCTTAACCCTTTGCATCAGAACATTAAGTTCTCAAAGTGTTAGGGTTGTGTCTCAACAGAACTGGGACTGAACCATGTCCCTCTTTGCTGCTACTGGATGATTTCCTCACCCACAATTTGTTTCAATCCAAGTTTGGCCACTCATTAAAAAAAAATAAAAAATAATTATATAGGATAGAGGGTCAGGCATTTTTTGTCATCATCTATTTTACTGACAATATCCTTCCTGTCAAAATCCCATGTGAATTTCCTAGGTCTCCAGCCATATAATTTGAACCAATATTCTTCATCTTTTACCACATCAGCATTGTAGAGAGTAAATATGTTTTAATCAGTTTAGGATTATGTCAGAGGTTTTTCCTGCTGTGCTCAGCTCAGTGACCAGCACCGAGGAGATCCGTGCTGCATCTGCTCTTGCTGTGCGTGCACATTGTTTCAGCACCAGTGGAACTTCCACTGCTGTCCAGGTCTTCTGTTCACAATATAAACCTTAAAAAAATTGTATACAGAATATTGTTTACTAACACGTGGTGTTTAGTAGGTCGCTGAAACGTCCACAAAATCCTGTTGATTAAGCACACACCAGCACATAGGGCACGCTGGTGCTTGGATTCCACCTGCTCTGTGTCAGCAGAAGCGCTGAAGGAGCTCTGGCCCAGAGCTTCCCAGCAGAAGCCGCTGTGTCCCCGAAATTGCTCCCTTTGTGGGCCAGGGAGCGACAGGGCACTGGACTCCTCCGCGAGGTGACCTGCCTGACAGCCCGGAGAGGGAAGCTGCAAGTTTTGAACAAAGAAGAAACAAAATGTGGGCAGAGGTGAAGACGAGGAGCCTGAAGGGGCCGAAGGAAGAAGCTACAAGGGAGATCTGCCAGGCCGTGGAGCGCCGAAAAGGCACTCGAGTTGTGCGGCGCGGGCGCTTTGCCGCCGCCGGCAGCCCACACGCGGAGCGCCCTCGGGAGCGGCTGCCACACACCCCCACACGGTTCGGGTCAGAGGGGCCCTTGCAGATCACCTCGGCCCAACGCCCTGCCAGACAGGGCCACCTTGCACAGCCGAGGCCTCCCAGAGCCCCATCCAACCTGGCCTTGAGCACCTCCATAGCCGGGACAGGGG